CACTGAATGCTTTTAGAGCTTTTTCGGAGGTGTTTTTTTTTATTTAAACTTTAGACTTCAAATTTACCAAATGCCACCTTAGTGCTTCTCCATAAGAGATTTCTAAGGTAAAAGTACTACAAGATTTATAAGCATTGGTTCAAAAAGAAGCTTTATCAACCCTTGGATCATGCACACTTCTAGATTCATAGGGGAACAAGCCTTTTAAGCCATGAGATTGAATCTCTAAAGAAAAGTATCATGGGATTTATTTTTGTAAAGAGATTAAACCATAGAAATTTGTTTTATATTTTATTAAATATCAAATATTTGATATCTGTCAATCATTTTCTATCTTTGGTTCTAGACAAGAAATTTGTGTTGACAATTGTAATCTCTTCCCATAGAATTGTCCCTGAATTATGAATTCTGGCAAAGAGGTTGGAGAGTTCACAACAGACCTAGACAAATTTATAAGAGAAGTGGTTGGTAGATGAAACCATTGCAATGGAATAAAGTGTTTGACTTTGATTTACATGCTAAAGGAAGTTCACTATGTGCACCTGCCATTGGATTGTAAACAACAAAATCACCAAAAGTGGTGCAGCAATTTCAACATTTTTTGTGATGTTGGGTGTACCTATCATGGTATGCACCTGTCACTTGAGACCTTCAACATAAAAACTTGTGTGCAAATTATTGTTTTCAACATGAAACAAGAGCAAACTAGATTAGAAATCCCAAAAAATGCAAAGATTCTTAGCTGTTTTGATTCTTGAGTTGGGCTTCTACTTTGATTTAAAGATTATTAACTTCATTTCTTCAATAACACTGCTTTTATTCGTTTCCTTTAGGCTTCCTTTGTCTTAGTGGATTCTAGAGCTATTTTGATTTATTTCCCCACCTATTGTTGTTGTTTTAGATTCTAAGAGTTTTGTCACCAATTATTTCAATGTCACTTGATTCTTGATATCTTTGTGTTATAAAAGGTGTTACTTCTCTCTTATTCCTTCTTCTTTGTTGATCCCCCTCTGCTTTCTCACCTTTCTACGTCTGAGTATAATAGTAACTTTGTCTTTATCATAAAACCATTTGCTTATTAAGGGATCTTAAAGTGATGATTTAACAATTTTCACAAACAAATTTCTTTGTATTCTATACCTTATTCTCATAATCCTTGATTTTTTCTTTCCATGTAGGAGAAGTATTCTAGATAGGTTTTGTAACTTTCTATGAGAAGGTTCAAGATTTAGAGATACCTTAACATTCTCCTTGCCACTTAAGCATAGCATGTTGGCTTTTTGATTGTTGTGTCTTTCCTCCATCGATGATCTCTTATTATTTATGTATTCCATCTCCATTACACTAGATTCTTCTCTTTCTGGTTCTAAGAATGCTCTGCACACAACTTGCTCTTCTTCTACTTGATTGCATAAATTAGTTGTAATTTTCTTCATGGGGGCTTTACACTTTTTTATCTTTCATATAGAGCTCTTCGAGGATTTGATCCCATTTATATCATCTTTAGAAAAAATAAATTCATTAGCAATGGATTCTCAGGATTTTATTTCAAATACCTCAAGTTTGTTGGTTAGAGAACTAGTTTTGGGTTCTATATCTTGGTTGGTTCCCTCATACGTGTCTTCGAGAATTCTTTACATTTCTTGTGCAGACCTATAGGCAAAGGTTCTAATGACTACAATGTTATATAGTGTGCAACGAAGAATATTCCTGGCCCTTTCATTTAAGGATGTTTTCTTCTTCTCATCCCCAGTCCATTATGAGGAAACCTTTTCTACCATTTCTTCTCCTATCTCTTTTATTAGCTTAGAGAGATCATTTTCAATTGTTTCCCAAAGGTCATAGTTAAGAGAAATAAAATAGATTCTCATTCTCACCTTCTAATAGTTTTAGTGTTTTCCGTTGAAGACCAAAGGCCTAAAGATGGATTGCCCCTCAAAATAGGAAGTGCTAGTTTAGGTGGCCATTTTAAACCACCTAGCTGTTAAGCTACAAACTAATGGTGAACTTACTTGGTGCCACTTGATAGCCCAAGTAGCCTAACCTAGGGGGGGGGGGTTACAAAATTTTCCTCTCCAAACCAATACCTATTGGAGACTTATTATGATAAACAAATTATATAGAGAGCAATATATTGAAAAGTGATTATGCGACAAGATATAGTAGTGTGAATAACAAATATTAAGAACAACAATGAGCAACCATAAGATTTATAGATGTTCGACCAAACACAAGTCTATGTCTTCTCCCCAAGCACATTATTTGAGAATTTTCATTAAAATTAGTTGGACTTCATAGCGCCAACAAAACCCTTGCAACTAGTTGAACTTCCCAGGTGTCAATAAGACTTTTACGATAGTTGGACTTTATGAGTGCGATTAAGACCTTTAATGGATAAACTTTTGGGTTCTATCCTAACTACTATGGTGTTTAATCACAAAACACTTAACTGCAAATACAGCAGATGTAAACAATGAAAGCACAATAATAAAATGCCTCTAACTTGGTAGATATGCAAATACAACATAAACTATTAAAATGCAAGAGAATGCATAAACAATAATGGGCTATTGCACTAAAAGAGATAAAATAACTTCTGGATATAATTAATGAGAGCACATACAACTTTTGCAAATTTTTTCTCCATGGATGAAATCTCTTTTTATGAGACCTCTTTTAAGCTTAGAATCTCTTCACTCAATAATGCTCTTTATTAACTCTTTTTCTTTTTAGCACAATAAACTTAAGATTTTCATCTCAAATACAAGTATTTTATTGCAAGAAACATGCTTAGAGATCATATGGCTGTTATATATCCATTTGGAAGAGATTAATCCTTTTTAGGAAATGTTTAGAGCTTGTTCACAACAAGATTGAAGGCTTATCATAAGAGAAAAGAGTCATTGAGCCTTCAAATGGTAAAAAAAACTTATTTCTTTTCATGAAACAGTTGATTGGCTCGATGATAGTCGACTGCTTTATCCTTGTTAGAAGTTAGTAGCCAATTGATACCATTTGGTAGTTGACTACTACCCACAAGAAAATATTTTCTCGTTGGTAATTGACTACTACCTCTTGATACTCAACTAGGTTTTGCACTTAAGTTCTTGACTATCAAGGATAGTTGCATAACCCTTTTCTATTAGTTGACTACTAACCAAGGCTAGTGCAACACCAAACTCGTCTATCACAAGTAGTTGACTATTGCCTTGTAGGCAGTCAACTATAGGATATGACTAACCTTATAAAACTTTAGCTTGCAACACCCAAAGTTAGAAAATTGATTACTTAGGCTTTTATGCTTAGAAATTTCACATTGTAGCTCAAATAAAGTCTAGTGAAAGCCTAACCACCTAAAACTAATTTAACCATTGGTCCCTAAGGTCTTGGTAATGTCGGGAATAGTCACACAACTAAGCCTAATGTTGTGCATCTTACAAATGATTACATCAAGTCCTAAATAAATAAAACACTTAGAAACCACTTGAGCTTGATGTCTCCTCATTCTTCTTTCTTATGTTGTCACAATGGCATCTTTTCTTGCTTTGCTCCTTTGTGCCTTAGATTAGCATTTGCTTCTTCAAGATTTTGACTTGTTGTAATTACACACTTATTTGCAAAACACATAGGGTCAACATGCATTTCTTGGTTCCACTCAACTAAACTTGGGGGCATGTTTTGTGTCTAAGCTTGATATGAGTTAGGGACCTCATCATGCTCGAAAATTGTAAGATTGGACCTGAGCTCAATACTTTAGCCCATCCCAAAGCCCTAGCTCAAAGCCCCAGAATCACCCTAATTCATTTTTTATCAATTGATCACCCGAATTCATATCATATAATTATATAGGAAATTTTTGTTTTTAGTAGATATTATATAGACAATTTATATTTTCCCTTATTTTTGTGATGTCAAATAATAAAAAAAAACTATCCATAAAAGAGAAATAATATAAAAAAAGCATAGCTAAAAGGGTAAATTACAAAGACCCCTATACAATGGGGTTAGTGACAATTACTTCTACACTTTCATCTGTGACAAAGATCCCATGAACATTTTCTTTGCAACGAATGCCCCTCTATTAGAGTTACATCAGTTAACTTCAAAAAAGATTATCATTTACGTATTTACATTTTTTGCATCCCCAAACTACTATTTTACTATTTATTTGAACAATTTATGATTTGAAATATTAAAGTCCTCTCAATTGCTGTAATATATCCTTGTAGATTTCTCATTGGATTAAATATTCAAATGAAATGGTAGGGTTTCTTTTAATAGATATAAATTTATGGTTTCATTTGACTTTTCTTGATTTATTGGAAGGAGTGGATGATTTTTATATTCTAAGATGAAGATAGACATTCAGGTCTGTAAAATGTTTCTTGTTATTTTAGCTAATTTTGTTTGGAAAAACTACAAGTATTTTTGGGTCATTAGGCTTTAAGAGAAAAGGCAAGAAAAAGGAAATAAGGCTCCATTTGGAAGGAGTACAAATACAAATATATAGAGCGTAAAACCTTGTATTTTGTGTTATTTTGTATGTATATATATTGTACATATTTGTATTTGTACTCGTTCCAAACTGAGCCTAAGGAAAATTCATGCAAGTATTTTGGTAATGTAACATATTCAATCATCTCCCTAATGGCCGAGGATCTGCTTCTCACACAGCGCACCTTGCTGCGACCTCACAGCATGTCCTGACTGTACATTGGGAACATCTCCCGTATCTATATTTATCATTCATGAGGATGTTTTGAATATAGAGTGAGATGTCTGTAAGGTCGGTGCAAGGCACGCTTTGGAAGAGCAGATCTCAATTCTTAACGGCTAGGGGTATTTGTCGTAAAGTGAATGTTTCGGGAGTCTTTATCGCAAATGAAATGAAAGTTGAAGGGGGTAATTGTCACTGAACCCATAATATGGGGGTATTTATAATTTATCAAAAAAATAAAACAATAAAAAAACGCCACGAGAGAGAGAGAGGTTCATCGTTCTGTATTTTCTTCGTTCCTTGTAGGCTGTAGCGAACGAGGAGAACGAAGCTGCACAAATTAATAGAATTAAAATAATAATAAGTGCGTCGCTCCAGAATTGTACGGGATCGGAGTGGTATTTTTCGAAATATCCACAGCTGCGGATACTCAACGGAGCTCGTCTTCTCCGGCTCCGATCCCTTGAAAGTATATGCTTTATATGATCATCGCCTCTGTTATCTCTGTTTCTGTCCGATGAGCTCTTCCCGGCAGCAATTTCCGGTTCGAATTTCGATCGGAATTCGGGTTTTAAAGGGATAATCGGGTTTGTTATTCGAATTTGGATGGTTTTTGGTGCGTTTATGTTTCTATAGCGATTTTTTTATTTTTTCTTTTTTTTTCCGTCTGTACATGGAATTTGCTTAAGAATTTCATGAAATGCTTTAGTGTTATCCGGGTCCTGTGGCTGTTGATGTTTGGATTTTCTGTTCTGAAAATGGTGTAGTTGATTGGTTTCTACACTTGGATGTGCAATTCAGTATTTTTTTTGGGTCCTCACTGTGGTTCACATGTTTGATTTTTTTTTTCCAATTTTAGAAGTTTCGTTCTGTTATTCATTGAGTTCCTGGATTTCATATTGTCTTGAACATTCTTATCGTGATCCACTATTCTTTTTCTTTCCTTTAGCATCGGATTAATTCAACCTTTATGCTGCATCTTTATATCATTCTCTTCTGAGAATATTTTATCTCCCTCAATTTATTTGCTTTTGCTATGTATCCAAACTGCAGACTTATTAGTTATTATGTGATTCTTGTACAAAAGCACTCAATTTCAAATGCTTACATTCTATTTATTTCTTTGATGGATGGTCCTAGTATCTTGATCAAAACTTGCATTTTGATGGAAAGATCCTTTGATCAGTACATATTTTAATGAGGTCGAAGTTGTTAAGTATGATTGAATTGAAAGGACAACTACATTTGAAATTTAATTCAGTGATTTAGGAAGGGTGGAGAAGTTGAAGGAGCTGTAATTCTGTATTCAGTTTAAATTCAATACAGTTGAGTATGGTGTGATCTCCATCAATGGATACATTCCATATGATTTTGAGTTGCCTTTAGTTTGCTCGAAAATCTTAATGGTGCACATGTCTTCTTAACGGTTAATATTAGAAGCAACTGATAATATTTCTAAGGTATTCTGTCTGGGACAGAAGAGGAAGAGTAGAAAAATATAGAGTAAAATTCTGTGAAGAGAGAAAGAAGTGATCAGTCCAATTTTTCAACTGTATGCTGCTATAATATATAACCCCTTATTGCCTGCTATCCTACACTCTTCAAACTGAAGTTGTGGGGATAATATTGGTTTGTCCACAAAGAATGCATAGCATGTTTGAGTCATTGTTTTAGTGAATATATCAGTTAACTTGGGTTTGGAAGTCACATGGAGGAGAGTAATAATCATAGTGATGAACTGGTCCTGATTGAAGTGGCAAGCAACTTTAATATGCTTGGTAGTCGGTACATTCATGACATACCTAGTTTTAGAACAAGATAAAGATCTTCAGATATGATAATGCAAAGGAGTATTTGAGGAAACCTCTAATTGTTTCTTGAAAAGTAGGGAGTTATCCATTAGAGCTCCTATGTATCTAACTATCTACACCTCAATAGAATGGTGTGATAGAGAGGAAAAACAGGCATCTTGTGGAGGTTGCTATAGGCCTATTGTTTAAGATGAGTGTCTCCACTTGTTTTTGGGGGGATGCAATTCAGACTACTGTTTTCTTGATTAATAGACTACCATCTAGAACACTTAAATTAGGTCCCTACATTAGTTATTGTATAGTGATGAACTTGTCTTTAATCTTCCAAGGGAGTCTTTGGATGTTTGTACTTTGTTCTTGACTTCAGTTCTAAAGTCAAGTTTGACCACAAAACTCTTAAGTTTGTATTTCTTGGCTATCCATCTACTCAAGGGGATACAAACGTTATGATCCTTCTTTTGGTAAACATATGACTTTTTTTTCGATAATTTGGTGAACATATGATTTTTGAGGATGTCATATTCTTTGAGTTCCAGTCTTTCATTCCTTCTCATGTCTCTTCTTCATGTGGAGAGTATTAATGAAGAGATACCGATTTCTTCTCCTTTACCTACCTATTCTTTTTGTTTCTAATCCTAAGCCTATTGATGTTCATGTTAGTATGTTAAGACAAGAGTTGTAGACTAGGCACAACAAGGTGACTCCAAAGTTGAACATCCACCACACTTTGATTCCTCAGGTTTGGGTAAACTTAATGTTCATTCTATTTTTCTTTCTGACTCATATTCCAATCGATCCTTCTATTGTTGATCATATTGATCTTGACCTTCCTATGACCTTATGAAAAAGAAAAAGACATTGCTCTTAACCATCTACTAGCATTCCTTATCCTATTTCCAATTATTTGTGTTATGATTCTCTCTCACCATCATGTTTTGTGTTCATTTCTATTACGTGCTCTATTTTTAATGTAATATATATTACATATTATTTTCTCAAGAAAGAACATCTCAAAAGTGGTCACTCCCACTTTCAAGCAAAAGCTTCATTTCTTAGACATGTGTCTACCCACTCAATAAAAAGTATGAGCTTCAAACGTAATTTACCTCTACTCTAAAAAATGTTAGTGGTAGTTACCTCCACTAAAAAGAAAAAAAAAAGCTCATTTCAAATAATGCAGGATCCATAAAGTGGACTATTATTTAGAAATAAAGCTTGATTTGATCTCTTAAGTTAAATAACAAAAAATGAGTGTCAATATATGCACACAATCACACACACAATAGCCCTATACTTAGTTTGAGGGGGATCTTTAGTTTCAAAAGTAGTATGAAGGCTATGAATCAACTAAAATAGATAAGAAACCATGGACTGAGAAATGAATGCATCGGAGTAAAATCAGACCTGGTTGCTAATGACACTTCTTTAAGGCAAAGTGTCTATTGGTGATAAATGGGCTCACCTAGTTCCAAAAGAGTCCACATAAGTGTATGGGATTCATTATTTGGAGATGTTTGCACCTTTCACTAAGATGAACACCGTTTGTGTGTTAATATCTTTAGCTGCAAACTTTTCATGGCCCTATTTTATATGGATGTAAAAATGCATTTCTAAACAGTCACCTCGAGGAAGAAGTTTATATGGAGTTGCCTCCTAGAGTATTTACTTTTGGAAATGAAGGCAATGTATGCTAACTTAGGGAGTCAATTTATGGACTAAAAATAGTCTCCATGAGCTTGGTTTAATAGGTTCAGAGGGGCAATATAGAAGGTGGGATTTGCTCAATCACATATTGACTACACTTTCTTTATTAAGAGAGATAATAATTGTACTATGACTTTAATTGTGTATGTAGACGACGTGGTGATTGCTAGGAATGGCATGTTTGAAATCTCTAGATAGAAGTGTTATTTGGCTATAAAATTTAAGATATGGGATCTTGGTGTGCTTAGAATTTCTCTAATAGTAGAAGTGGCAAAGTCAAGAAAGGGCATCTGAAGAAGTATGCCATTGATTTGTTGAGAGAGACAAGTAAGTTGGGAGTTAAATCAGCAAACACTCCTATGGAACCTAATCATAAAACTTGTGGGAGTGAAGGTGATGTGTTGGCTAATAATGGAATATATCGACAATCGGTATGCAAGCTTTTATGACCTATATTTGTCTTGTCTAGACATCTCCTATGTTATTACTATGTATTAGAATTACAAGTAGGTTAGAAGTAGGGATGAATTGAAGAGAATAAGGAGAAGAAAAAGAAAGAGAGAGAGAGAGAGAGAATGAGTGAAGGGAATAGCATGAGATGCCTTTGGGTTGGCTCCCCTATTATTTATACTTATTTGTTTAAAAGATGTAAAATTTCAAACATATCCCATCAAGTGAAGCATATATGTCTATCATGTTCAACTTGCTTAATACATCATCAAGTTTCTTCTTTATCAATCCCTTAGTGAACAAATGAAAATATGCATAAGATCCTGTAATCTATCAAAGATAATAAATGAAAATATGCATAAGATCTTGTAATCTATCAAAGATAACAAATGAAAATATGCATAAGAAAAAAAGAAGACAAAATGTGAAGAATGAATCTTTCATATAAGAGGAGGTGCCCTCTGACCCCTTGTATAATAATAAAAAATAAGTATTATAGAGAGGTCGCTGAGAATAGAAAAATTACACAAAACCCCTTATGGCTAAAACATACAATACAAACACCTAACAACACTCCCCCTCAAGTTGGATTGTAGACATCATACATACCCTACTTGTTACATAACTCTTCATGGTGTAGGAAAGTCAAACCTTTTGTAAACACATTAGCCACTTGCTCCCTATACTTAACAAATGGTATATAAATTTCACCTCTTTCCACTCTTTCATAGACGAAGTGCTTGTCAATCTCAATATGTTTGGTCTCTCATGTAAAATCAGATTGTGAGCAATGCTGATTGCAGCCTTGTTGTTACAGTACAATGACATAGGATTTGAGTCCTACAAACCCAACTTAGTAAGCAGATTTTTCAACCACAATAGTTAAGCAATTCTTTGGGACATAGCCCTATACTTTGCTTCAGCACTTGACTTTGTAACCACAAGCTATACCTCCATCAAGGTGCCTTTTTAAGTAGGATAGAACTTTCTCGGTTTCCTTAAAGTGGAAAGGTCTAGGTGAGTGCATAAACTGGCTCAAAACATTTGCAACAAATGCAACATCCTGTCTAGTCATGGAAATATATAAAAGTATCTCAATAAGCCTTTGATACTAATAAACATCTGAAAACTACTTCATCTTCACATTTTCCAAGTTTATTACATGGGTCCACAGGAGTCTTGTTTGGTTTACATCCTAACTTCCCAGTGCCCTTCAACAGTCAAGGATATACTATGGGAAACAAAAATGCCTTTGTTAGACTGAGCAACTTCAATGCCAAGGAAGAATTTTAGAGGACCAAGATCCTTTACTTTAAACTATGAGGCAAGAAATAAACTCACCTTTTCTCTTTATATACAAAGTTTGATAAGTTTGGCAATGCACAAAACCAACTTGTTGAATAACATTGTTGAACCTCTCAAACCATGCCCTCGGAGATTGCTTAAACCATATAGAGACTTCCTTAGGTTACAAACTTTATCCTTGTTTCCCTGTACTTGAAATCCAGGTGGCTGGGACATATACACTTCCTCTTCGAGGTAACCATTCAAAAAAGCATTCTTCACATTTAACTGATGAAGTGGCCCTGAGAAAGTTGATTGCCATAGATAACAAGACACAGATAGAATTCATCTTGGCAATGGGAGCGAA